AACTTGCCTAATAATTCTGCACTCCCTGTATTTTCATGCCTCACACTGACCCTTCAAAAAAAAAACTTTCTGCAAGCTGCACTACATAAGAGAGATCTCCATTACGAGGTAAGATAAAGATAGCTATTTTACATATTTATAATGAAATAAATTCATATAAATAATACTTGCATCATGTTTGTTGGAGCTACAGCCGTAAAAGCTGCTAGTCATGACATTGATTTGGATATGTGGTGAGAGGGAAACATGAAGATGAAACCAGGCAATGTCCTTACTGAATCTTTAGAGCTGAACAGGTGATGGGGAAACAGGTTTACCTTTTAGCTGACAAGAGAACAATATGGCGTTGGAGTAACGGCAGCCTTTCCAAGTAGCTCTGCAACACCACACCTTTTCTTAACTTTTAACTTTTTTTAGACTAGGCTTTCAAACTTTATTTCACCTTCCTCTAGTTACTCTACTTATACCTCTCAGATATAGCGATACAAGATGGATAATGGATGGATAACTTCTGAAACCAGCTCCTTCATCTATTCTAGAGCGGAGCTGCTGGCACTAAGGACAAAGGGACAGACCGGCATGCGACACAACATCCCGGCTGAGATAAAGAGGAGCTACAGAGGCTGCAAGGCTGGAGCGAGGAAAGCGGATTACTGGAGGCGATTCAAACCATCAATCCCGACAGTGATAATGAGCAACGTGAACTCGCTACAGAATAAAATGGACGAACTGTGTGCTCTGAACAACCACCAACTATACCGTGAGTGCAGTTTCTTTATCTTCACGGAGACGTGGCTAACCGAGCTAACGCCACAGGCTAACGTAGACCTATGTGGTTTCACATCCGTGAGAGCTGATACGGACACGCAGGCCAGTGGAAAAAGCAGAGGTGGGGGACTCATTGTCTACATTAACAATAGATACTGCAACCCTGGACACGTCTCCGTTAAAGTTTTGGTATGCCGTCTGGACCTGGAGCTGCTAACCATTAGCTTGCGACCATATTATCTACCATATTTTCGCAACCATAAGGCGCACATAAAAGCCTTGGATTTTCTTTAAAAAGTGCGGCACGCCCTATAGTGCGGTGCGCCCTGTGTGTTGTAAGGAGGACGTAGTAGAGAACACCATGAGAACGCTAAAGGGTGAAGTGTGGGCGTTGATCGTATATACCGGGACAATCGCACATACCTGTATAAAAGGACAGGTATGTGCATTATG